AATAATGTGTTTTTCGAACCACCAAGCACGAGAGCATGTTCTAGTACACCCCCAAAACAAAATCAAGACATTGTAAAAGAGCATAATAGCAGCCCTTTAAATATTCAGTAAAAAACTGTAAAACTGTGAAATACTATTACAATTCAAAATAGCTGTATTTTATTTGAATATATTGTAAAATGTAATTTATTTCTGTGATCAAAGCAAAATTTTCAGCATCATTACTCCAGTCTTCAGTGTCACATGATCTTCAGAAATCATTCTAATATGCTGATTTACTGCTCAAGAAACATTTCTGATTATTATCAATGTTGAAAACAGTTGTGCTGCACAATATTTTTGTGGAAACTGTGATGCATTTTATTTTTCAGGATTCTCTGATGAACAGAAAGTTCAAAAGAACAGCATTTATTTGAAATAGAAATCCTTTGTATCGTTACAAATGTCTTTACTGCCACTTTTGATCAGTTTAACACATCTTTGCTAAATAAAATTGATTTATTTAAAAAAATCTTAATGACCAAAAATTTTGAATGCATACCTGTATATACATACATTTATATTAAAATTTTAATTTTACAAATTTTATTTCTACTATATACTTAATTATATTTTATATTATTATACTAATTTTTATTTGCAATTATAATAGTTATAATATATTTTGTTTTTATTTGATACAATTATAGTAGATATGGTATATTAATGGTTTTTATATAACATTAATAAATCTTCATTACAAATTATTTATTATTATTTATTACATAAAATGAGATATTATTAAATAATAAGTTGTTTTTATATTATTTTAATCAGTTTGATACATTTTATATATACTTTAGTTTGAAGATCTAATGCAATTTTTGCAGCATCAGGAAATGTTGCATGCTAGATTTGACCTTGTGTTGCCCATATGAAGTGTTGCTACATACTCAGTAGCACATTTATCCATATGGTGTTTCACAAGCTATATAATGTCAATCAGTTCTGATCATTATTGCATTTTGCAGGCTCATTAGTATCTTACCTCTATATCCCACACTTTAGTTTTCCATTATGCCGGCAGTATAGTGTGAGAGGATTGACTCGGTCGTTGTGTGGATCTTGGCGGGCGGCCGTGTAAAACATCGCTCGGTAAATCTGAGCAGCGGTGCGAACGCTCCTGTATTGCATGAGCTCTCTGATGAAAACTGGCCCTCAGAGTTTGCTTAACATGCTTTTTCTTGGATAAAAACGCAAATGTTAGGAATAACTCTTGGTTAGACGTGTGGGGGATCAAGTGTGTTTCTAAAACAACATACTGAATCTGAAAGAGCTTCCACCTAAATGCAGTTGGGTTCGTGTTTCTCGGCACATTCACACGCTGTAGATTATTCTCCATATGTCAGCGCAGGTCAGAGGTTTCAGGTTTTGATGTGGAAAATGTGAATGTTTTGTTCTGTGTGGAAGTTGACGTAAATAGTGAAGCAAAACATTTGATAAACGTGTGGAAAGATGCACACATTAGCTTTAGCGTGCTCTTTAAACCGCCTTTGGCTTATGCTGTGAATTGTTTTACACTAGTTTGGGATATTATTCAGCTTTTAATGGGAAAACAGACGTAATTAACTGGAAGAAGCTGATTGACCTGTTTATTCTGTAAACACTCAATATCTCATATGCTCAGGTCGCCAAAGCTGCGGTTCCGTAGTTTACGTTTCTTTTCAACTGGTTCTCATTATGTTGCGTCTGTGAGTGATGTACAGTAAATGCATTTCTGTTGACTGGCTTTTCAAACACACGAGCCGATGCTGTTAGCTGCGGCTAATGTTCCAGCGGCATGTCTGGATGCATTTGCATGTGCATTTAGCTTGATTTCTGCTGATTGATAAACACTTAAGGGACATCTGCATACATGCTAGTAACTTGCTAATAATGCTAACAACATGCTAGTAACTGGCTAATGATGCTAGAAACATGTTAACAAAATGTTAGTAACTGGCTAATCATGCTAGAAACATGCTAGCAACTTGTTAATCATGTTAACAAAATGTTAACATCATGCTCATAACATGCTAATCATGCTTTTCAAGCCAACTGAAAGATTGTCTACAAACATTTCAATCTAGTTTTATTTATAAGCTGTTCCCCCAAACTTTTGAATAAAGGGGTGTCTGTTTGTGTGTGTGTGTGTGTGTGTAATTCATACTTTTATTCAATAAAGACACATTAAATTGTTCAAAATTGGCAGTAAATCAGTTAGGGAAAGTTACTTTTTACGAGTTTTATTTTGACAGACAATATTGTGTTACTCTATAAAAAAAATTACTAATTGCATTATTTAGTTAACTTTTGCATTACTTTTTGTCACCTGAGCTGGGCTTGCTTATTCATTTTTAATAACAAAAAGTTTTTGGCCACCGTAGAGGCCATTTCACACAAAAAGTGAAATGTATAAGCTTCAGCCTGAAGGAAATGTCTCTGCCTCTTCACTTCACTCCCGATTCATCACAACGGTGACAGGAGAGCTGTCAGTTAAAAAATGGGAAAACACAGTAACTTGCGTTACTTATTTGAAAAAGTAACTCATATTTTCTCACCCATTTTCATAGCTCAAAAACCTCATTCTCCATTGCAAAATATCTTATTTGTATTTCACAGATGAAAGTCATACAGAATCTGAACGACAGAATTTTCATTTATTCCTGATCTGTTTCTTTAATGTATTCCGACAGGATTTGTCTGTCAAAAAAAAATCCCTTTCGAGGATGCTTTGCATTGCTGTTGCTCATGCCAAGAGATCCTGGCAGAAAGTGTAGCGTAGCGTCTAGTGTTCTCTGGCCTCCTGAGGACGCCGAGGTCAGTGATATCCAGAGGGCAATGGGGAAGTAGCTGATGAATGCAGCTCAGTTTAAAACCGATGCAGAAATCACAGTCTTCTGCATCTAATTGATACGAGCCTGTGGGCTGCTTATGTTAACCCTTCACCTCAAGAGCTCCATGCAGACAATAGCTCCAGAGTTGAATTGCAGAAGGTTTTTTTTGTCGTTTTGTTGAGCAGACTGTTTTCGTAACCCTCAGGCTCTTTTCTTTCAACCCAAAAACCCACCTCAACAAGCTTCTGCTTTTCTGTGTGTCTTCTAGTTCCCTTCTAGCGCTTGTATCCACCTTATTTTTAACATAAGAGCTGGAGTAACTTGAATGTGCAAGGCTTCCAGTGTCATTCACTTCTAGTTATTTTACCTGTACAAAAAAGTCTGTTATGCTGCTTTTTTATTGCAAACTGGTGTTTATTGTATTATTTAACAAATATGTAAAAAAAAATATATAAATTACCAGCTTTGTTTCTCTTTCTCAACAATTATCCAACTTTGTTACGATATTGTCACTTTTTATATTGTCGCAAAATGTAATTATATTATTACCCAACTCTTTATATGAAGTTGGATATATGTCCATTTCATCCACATACATAAAGTATACTCAGGTAAAGAAATATAAACTATAAAGCAAATTTTTGCTGTGTGATTTATTATTTCATCGCAAAATTTTTATATTTTAAATTTGAATATTATAAACATAATTTTATGTAAAACTTCTTTGAAACAATGTACATTGTGAAAAGTGCTATACAAATAAATGTAACTTGTATGCACTTGTGTATGATTCCGTTTTAAAGCTCAGGTGCCAGTCGCATAAACTGCTTAGACTAGTCTTAAAAGATAGTTGTCTACTTTTTTTTTCTGCAAGAATGGTCATAACTTTTTAAAAGTTACACATAAAGGTCCAATTCGAATCTGAAAAGTAAGACTGATAACCACTTTGTTAACTGCTAGTAAACTAGGTTAACTGCTGTCAAACTAGTTTTTAAGACCGTTTTAACATAGAGGCCCCTATCATACACCTGGCGTGATGCAAGTGTTTTTTGCTAGTTTCAGCCCCACGCAGTTATCATTTTCATGTCCTGCGCCACATTGTTTAAATAGCAAATGCATTTTCCAGGACTGGTAACCAGATGATAACTAGTTCAGTCCCTGCAAGGAGTGAATCATGAATTCTCAACATTGTGCCGTGTGTGCAATATTTCACATACTTGAAACATTTTTTGCAATCTATATAATTTTCTTTAGCCCATGCATTTCAGAGTTACAAAATAAAGAATAAATGAAATTTATGATGCATGAAATCTACGTGTTGAAAAGTCTCTGTATATGACAGGTGGTTGAAGTGTTTGAAATATAAGATGAACTGATGTTTCAGGAGTGAAGCAAGTTAAAAACATTGGTCCTGTTTACTTTCTTAAAGGAATAGTTCACCCAAAAATGAAACTTTGCTGAAAATGTCCTCAATCTTAGGCCATCCTAGATTTAGAGGAGTTTGTTTCTTCATCAGATTTGGAGAAATGTAGCATTAGGCTACATCAATTGCTCAGCAATGGATCCTCTGCAGTGAATGGGTGCCGTCAGAATGAGAGTCCAAACAGCTGATAAAAACATCACAATAATCCACACCACTCCAGTCCATCAGTTAACATCTTGAGAAGCCAAAAGCTCCGTGTTTGTAAGAAACAAATCCATCATTAAGACGTTTTGAAGTAAAATATGAGTCCTCTATCCATAATAATGTTTCTTCCAGTGATAAAGTGGTCTGGTCTGAATCAGGAGAGAAATCTGCACAGATCAAGCACCGTTTACAAGCCAAAACAGCTCTAAACAAATATGTGGCTGGATTTTGATGTGAGAGACAACAGGAGATGGACTTTTTCACTAGAGGAAGTGTTATTATGGATTATGGACTTGTATTTTAGCTGGAAGCAACAGTTTGAAGTTAAAAACATCTTAATGACAGATTTGTTTCTTACAAACACAGGTCTTGGTTCACAAGATGTTAGTTGATGGACTGGAGTGGTGTGGATTACTTGTGGATTAGTGTAATGTTGTTATCAGTGCGTGTTATTCCAAAAAAAACAAAGCATCTTCTAAATGTCCGTTGACGTTTTTTCTGCTCTCTGTGTCTCTCAGGGGATGTTCAGAGCTCTACCGCATCCCTATGGTGGAGTATAAGTTGGACAGTGAAGGAACGCCCTGCGAGTACAAGACGCCCTTCAAGAGAAACACCACCTGGCACCGTGTGCCCACCAGCGGCCAGCCTCTTCCCGATCGCATGCCGTGCCAGCAGATCCTCCAGCACGCTCAGACCGCCATCCCACGCAGCACCTCTTTCGACAGGAAGCTGCCGGATGGACCCAGGTATCGCATCCGTTTCAGATGCATGCTTTTGCGTTTTTCTCAATGTCAGTTGGATGAGTGTAACTGTGAATCCATCGTCTTCCTGAATCAACCAGAACTCAGGGTGTTAGAATGCACAAAAAATACAGCAGGATGAAGACATGATGAAACTTTTTATTGTGTCTTTTCTGACATTTTATGTGTGGAGCTCTATGATTTCCATGACGCAGATGGAATTGCAAAATCCAGTTATATAAAAATAGAATTTACAGAATGTCACCGAATTTGACAAATTTTGGATGAATAAATCAGAAGTAGTGCTGTATACTTAATTAAATCACGATATAGACTAGTGCAAAAAAGACTGATATTTATATATGAAGTCTGCATGTTTTGTGTGTTTGCCAAAAATAATAGAATTTGATTTAAAAGAACATTTTTAATTATATAGAATTTCTGAATATTTAAAACAGCTTTGCGAATTCACTGACTACTTGTAATTACTTTTAATATAATTTTATTAAATTGTAATGATAATTGTTATTAAATTGTACACATTTCATGATTTCAAACGGAATAAAAAAATATTAAGACTGGAAAAAAAGAATCTACCAGTGCAGTAAGACAAAATACACTTATTTTCAAGAAACAGTCTATGAAAAATCTTAAATCTTAAAATTGCATGCAATATTGCTTGAGTAAATTTAATTTATTTTGAGATATTTTAACTGGAAAACAAAACACAAATACTCATTAATAATTTTTTGCTGTGCAAAACCCTGGTTCACGTAAAGGGAAAAAAGATTCAATATGTGAAATAAATTATATTAAAATAGAAAACAGTTATTTTAAATTGTAGTAATATTTCACAATATTGCTGTTTTTACTGTATTTTGATCAAATGCAGCCTTGCTGCGCAGAAGAGACTTTAAAAAACATTCCAAAATCCTGCCTACCATTATAGAGTATGTTCATTTTTAGAGCTTGAAAACATAATTTCCCTTTGGAAAATATCGTGAAGTTGTTTGCAGAATTGCTTCTTGAAGAAATACATTTGATTTTAAGGATTTAAGATATTTTAACTGAAAAATAAGACAAACATACTCATTAAGATTTTTTTGCAGTGCACAAACCTGATTCACATAAAGGGAACATTTATTCAAATATGTGACAAAACAACAAATATGTTAAATATATTGGCATGCAGCATTTTCAGTTTCAGCATGCACTGACAATTTACATTCTGCTGGAAAGTGTTGTGTTGCATTTCCGGTGTTCCTGGCAAACTTACTGACCCAGATCATAAATTCAGCTTCCTGTATTTGGTATGCAGGCGATATGCCTTTCAAATATGGTTTGTTATAATGTGGTCATTTGTTCCTCGCGGTGTTGATGACCTTTCCAGCTCCTCTATGAGACGGCATGTGGAGAGAGCTGTGTAATGCCACACCACTGGACTCTCTTACCTCTTATTAGTGATGCACTAATACTAACACTAAAAACACACATGCAAACACCTCTCACATTTTCAAAGGAAATGCATGAAGTGATGAAATGTTTACCTTGAATGCAATGAATAGTCCCTTTGAATAATTGGGTTGCATGCATGAATGTAAGATATTTACAGGCGTTAAAGGACATTTCTGCATCTGTCACAGTGATGTGTTAATATACTAGCATGCATATTGTCCAGAGGCATTGTTGGTGCTCAAAGTAACCCTGTCATTAGTGCATTCTGGTCTGTGCATTGTGACTTCAGACTGACGTCGGCGAGAGCTGAAATCACCTTCGTGCAGTTCTCTTCCTCGTATTTTGCGGTTCTGGAAGGTGTGTGAGATGTATGCATGGAGAATGAGATCTGCTGCAGCTGACGGCCGAGTGGAAGCAGAAAAACAGGAATATCAGATGTTTTGTACTTTTTACGAGGGGACGTGCAATTGAATAGACTGGACTGCAGTTACGTTCAAAATAGCATGTTACTATAGTAAACTTACTATATTTGTAGGATGCATACTGTGCGTATCTTTTGTATGTATGGAAAACCCAGATGCACATTCGCCCACATGTCAAATAAATACAGCAAAAGGTTAATTGCAATAACATATTTAGCAGAAAACAAGGTTTAAATAAGTTTTAAACTGTTATTGATGTCAGGCTAAAGATATTAATACGATTATATATTGATCATTTTTATGATAAATTTAAATTTTGTTTATTTATTATAATTTAATTTAGTATTAATGTATTGGTCCAGTAAATACTTCAGTTCATATAAATCAATCAGTCAAATTAATTAATAAAGTGATACTGACAGTCAAGTATTATTCAGTATTTAATATTCATTTAATGTATATATTCTAATTTTATTTATTAGTAATGAATTGGTCCAATTAATAATTCAATTCATATAAACCAGTCAATGAATCAGTTAATAAAGTTGTATTGATAATTTTTATCATATCATTCAGTATTCGGTTAGTATTAGTTTAGGTTAAAGTTATTAATAAGATTATATTGAACATTTTATTATCAAATATTTTGAGTGTTTACTTAGTATTACTTTTGTTTGCTTGTTTAGTTTAATTTAGTTTATTTAATTTATTATTAATGTACTGACCTAATTAATAATTGAATGAATATAAATACATTTCTAAAATTATATATGATAATTATGATTAGGGTTGCAAAAAGGTGGAAAATGTCCAGTAAATTCGGACATATTCCAGAAATTTTGGAAACTTTCCAGGATTTTTTGGAATATTCCAGGGATTTTTAGAAAGTTTCCGGAAATTTTCCACCCCTTTTCAACCCTAATTATGATCAAGTATTATTTAGTATTTGAATGTATTGGTCCAATTAGTAATTAAATTAATGAATCAGCCAATAACATGAAATAATAATAATAGTAGTAGAAGTAAATATAATATTAATAATTGTAGTCTTAGTCATAGTCTTAATTTGCTTGTTCATTCTTTTTTTTTTTTTTTACTTTTTTTTTTTATATTGCTTATTTCTTTGTAAAGCGGCTTGAGAAGCTGCATTTAAAGGTGCAATATGGAATAAAATGTATTATTATTATTATTATTGATGCTTGCAACAGTTATGAGACTGTGTTGCCTAATTATCCATGGCTCTTTATTTTATTTGATCATTTCTTTCTCTTTTCCTCAATGTTGATGAGAATGTCATGGTAGACCAAGCAATGCTGAATGTTGCACACAGTCTCCTGCGCATTAGCTGCTTCCGGGTCTGATTGGAGACACTCCTGTGAATCAGATCAGTCACCTGACGCTGCTCTCTTGCCTCTCTGATCCGCGGTTTGTTCAGAATGTGTGTTTCTCTCGCTGCAGGAGCGTTCAGGATGTTGAGAAGCCTCAGATCTCGTCCTGCAGTAAAGGAG